GCTTTCACTTATCAAGCTCCTCTCTTGTGGAATCAACTTCCAGTTTTGGTCCATGAGGCTGACACTCTGTCTACTTTTAAGATTAGACTGAAGGCTTTCCTTTTTGATAAATCCTATAATTAGACTTAGGTTTCCTGAATTATTCTTCATTTCTGCTGCTATAGACTTAGACTGCTGGAGGACAAACTGACCACATTTCCTCACTCTGCTGTTGTCTTTAGTCTCTGTCCTCTACATGTTTGTTATAATTACTTTTATCAGTGATGTGTTTTATTTGTCTCTCTTCCAGAGGAAAACACACCTGGACCAGTTCTGTGTTTGTCTGTGTCTCATCCTGTCTCCCAAACCCAGCCAGTCGAGGCAGATGGCCTGAGCCTGTTTCTGGTTCAGCTGGAGGTTTCTTCCTGTTAAAAGGGAGTTTTTCCTCTCCACTGTCACCAGTCTGCTCAGGATGAGAGACTGTGATGAAGAGAAGATTCAACACAATCTGCTGGCTTCTTTAGTTTTTTTTTTTTTTTTGGTGTACAGTGCCCTGAGATGTTTGTTGTGACTTAATAAACTGAATTAAATGGAATTGTGTATTTTCCAGGTGGTAGTTCAATTCTACACCACAATCAAGTAACTAAAATTATGTTCACACTGCAGGTCTTAATTCTGATGTCTTGAATACATTAGATTTTTTGGTGTGGACGATCACATTATATTTTTAAATGAGACTTCCATCAGACTCGTGAAACTCTTCATGGTCCTGATGTGACCTGCATGCACAGAAGATGACGGCACATTGAACTCACTGTTTACAGATGTAGCTAAACATGGACGCTCCTTGTTTGCATGTCGATTCTGAAGCTGTTGTGCAATCAGAGCCGATTAAAAGATTTTCTGACGTGCTTGTTTAGTTCAGTGTTTACATTTTAACCTGCCTCTGGTCGGCTGCTCCGATGCAGCATTTTTTTTGAACAAAAGTACGTGCTAAAAGTAAAGTATAGATCGAGTAACTGTAGGATGTTATGATCAGCGTTTGATGTTACTATCATACTGCATGTTTCTGCAGATTCACAGTCATCCTGAACATGGAAAATTTAAAGAACAAAGACAAAACAACCAGACCTCTGTTCTGTGGACTTACAACATTTAAACATCATGACTCGAGCTCAGTGTCATCCCCACCTCACAGAGCATTCAGGCTGCAGTCACAGTACCACAAACTGAAAAGGCCTGGGTTGGATTTGAAAAAAAATTGTTTTTGTTGCATTGATGAAATATAATATAGATACATGGGTCGCACAGCTGCAAATATATGGACATGGTAGCGTTTGCCTGCAGTGTAGCCTATGTTACCTTCAGTTGTTATGAAAAAGCTGTACGTATCAAAATTAATGCTGAGTCTATTGACTGCTATTGTGAGTTATTTGTACATTAGTTGTTTGTTTAAAAGACTACTTCCAGCTAAATCTGTATGAAATAATTTCATTTTTATTATGTTTAAAAATATTAATTTTAGAAATACATCTAAATAAGCTATTGGTTCAAAATCCTATATTTCATGGGTTATTATTTTAGTTTGTTACAAGAATGTTACTTTTTCTGTTGTTAGATAAAAGGGTGACATTCTCAGGTGTGAGCAGGTGACGAGATGTGCGCTGGAGTTGGAAAAGGAGGTGCGCCCAGGAATGAAGCACAGGTGGAGGTTGTGACAAAAATAAACGCTGACTAATCGACTAATTGAAACAATAATCGCAGAATAGTCAACAATCAAAATAGTCATTAGTTGCAGCTTAACTAGTCTGGTGGAGCTGTGTGTGTGTGTGTGGGGGGGGGGATCATGGGGGACGGGAGCTCAGCTGCAGACTGAGCTCCAGGGAGGAGCTTTGTGTAAGAAGGTGGAGCTTTGTACCAACAATTGTTTAGGCAGCTCCACATGGCTACAGGAGATTCAAGGGTTTCTCAAAGATGCATGAGTGAGTCAAAGCAACACTCTGGGTATGTTTTTGATGAGGGAATGACATTATAATAACACCCCCTTTAAAATATGAAGGGATCTCCTAGTTTAGCTCTTTTGAATAGTTGGTCTGTTCTCACCAGAAGTAGATTTGGTATTTCTTGCTGAGAATCCTCTTATCTTTACGAGCCAGATCAGCGACACACAGGTACTTCTGCATTTAAGAAAAAAAAAACATCCCCAGTTATCAGGAATGGGTGGAAACAACAACAAATGAACATACAAATGTTCCAAATGATTCACTTATCTATATTCTAACTCAGAAGTTGGACTACAAAGACAACTTGTGATTTCCTAATGATGATTTATGTCACGTGAATAGCAGGACCGAGGCATACCTTAGTGCGAACTATGTTTTTGTCTGAGTCGATGTCATCTAATGTGTCATAGTCGTCCTCCTCCACAGAACTCAGAGACTCCTGCCTGCTTCGTGCAACACTGTCCAAAGATCGCTCTGATTGGGCGGAGGAAAGGGAAGAGAAACCTTTTCAGTGACAGCAATTCAATAAACAAACAAAACAAAAAAATCAGAAAATTTGCAGAATGCTTCCCAACTTTCAAAACCGATTTACAGTATTCCAAAGATTGTTGGTTCTTGGATTTTTGCACATTCTGTCTCATCTGGCTTTCAATTTAGAGAAGATCACTGGAGTCTCTTATTTCATCAAGGTGTGATTGAAACTGTGCTGATTGGTTAGAAGCAAATCTGGGGGAATGATTATAGGAAATATGCAACAGAGTGTCACCGATACGGATGGCTATGTGGTGAAGGTGATTTAGGATTGGTCGGCGTTTGAAAGTCTCCTGTCCTATTGAATAAAGACAAACAGAAGAGCTGTGAGGGACGAGGGGAGCTCGCTGACCAACCGTCTGCACGCCTCACCGTGGACAGATGCTGCAGAGAGTCTGAGGCTCATTTCAGTTTACAGAACCGTCTACTTCTCTACATGTTGTCATGCTACAAATACAAACTTCAAAGCATTTTACTGGGATTTTATGTGACAGACCAACATAAAGCAGCACATCTGTATCATTTTCCTTCCACTTTACAATTACACACCACTTTGTGTTAGTCTTTCACAATAGATACTGTGAAGTTTGTAGCTGCAACATGAAAAAAGGGGTGTGAATTCTTGTTTGAAGCATTTCATACCCATGTATCCATAGTTGTCAGTGGACATGACGCTGTCAGTGATGGCCTCCGAGCTCAGGGTGCTGCCGTTGTCCGCTGAACGGAAACAAATTTAGCATTTAATCCAGTTTTTATTCAAATAAAGCCATTACCTGAAGAAAAACATGAGCCATGCTCACCAAATGAGCCATATTCATACGGAGAGGCTGGAGTCTTGCCTGTGGAGACAAATATGCTCGTCTTTATAGAGTCCAAAGGAGTTCACAAGTTTCACACATTCAAACAGGCACTACTACAGACAACACGAAGCCACTTGTGAAGTGTTAGCTGATAAACACACAGATGAGGAACACACACATACAGAGATCTTGTTAGTATTGATGACTGAAGGTTATATTTTTCTTTTAAGATGTTGAATAACTTAGATGTGTAAGGCCTGGTGGAGAAGAGGTTAAATATTTACAAAGATATGTTTAAAGCTGTAATAACTGTCAAAATATGCAGCTTTTCAATGTTTTTGATTTAAATGCACGTATAAGCTATGATAGAAATAGCCGCTAAATACCGTATTTTTCAGACTATAAGCCGCGATTTTTTTCCTGAACTTTGAACCACGTGGCTTATAGTCCGGTGCGGCTTATACATGGATTTTTTCCTTCAGCCACCAGGGGGCTCTCATGCTCCATTTGCTTCAACAACTCACTTCAAAAAAGGAAAGGGAAAAAAAAGAAAAAGAAAAAAGCGATCGCTTCCAGAGCCGACTGTTGTACTAGGAAGCAGCGATTTAAAGATAGTCAATGGCCAAAAACTCATAAAAAGGGGATAAAACAGACATTTTTCACKGTGGAATCTGACTGATAAAAACTTTGGAGCTTAATCCAGGACCAGTTTGTGGATAAACGTCRAGTGAAGAGCCGCAGACTTTTTTTTCCCTCATTGCACTCCCCGGGGAAGGAATCCCATGCAGTGACGTATGCTGGAGTGGGAGGGCTATCCCACCACAGCTTCAGAGCCAGCATTACCCCGGGAAGACAGCGACACAGAAAGCAACACTGAACAGATACCGCTGTGTGACGCAGCTTGTTTAACTCTTACACTGAAGAGGACTTCGATGGTTTCTGTGCGCCGGAGGAAGATGAATGAGACGTTTTGTTGGACCAGAMACTGTTAAAGAAAACTACCAAAATAAGGTCAGTTAAATGAACCGTATTCCTCCGAACTTTAATTCCTAAAGGTTTGCTTTTTATGCTTTGATATTGAATTCACTTTTTTGATGGCAAATTTGGGTGTACTGGTTTTTTTTTTGTTGGGGGTGCGACTTATAGTCCGGTGCGGCTTATTGTCCGAAAAATACGGTAAGCATCATTTACCTCCATGAGCAAAATCAGCCAAGACTTTGTTGCCAGCAGTTACAAATTGTTTGTTTACATTTCAACATTGAGAATAACACCTCAGACAGTCTGGGTGTGCCAAGGACATTAAGCCAGTAAAATGATACCTGGATGTAAACCAAGTTTTTTTTTCTTCTTCTGAAAAGAAATGACCACTAAAAGCTGTAAGGATGAGAGCTGACTGAAGTCAAGTCATTTTGGGGGAGGGAGCTAAATGATGCAGAGCGTTAAATATCATACACAAATTATCTGTGCAGAGCATTCCAAAAGTAATGGGAACATTATTCACTAAATTTAGTTGTAAACAAAGATGAAGAATTTTTGCTGGTTTCTAATGAAAGAAAAACCCTGATGAGTTTAAGTTAAATTAACCCCCAAACAATAGTTTAATAATGCAGACCACATGTACCAAACTCAAGGCCCTCGGGACCACGAGAGCTTCAAAGATATATTAATGTCTTTGAAAAAGCTGCTTTAAAGTCAGCAATAACTAGAAACAATATTTCCCATAATGCATGTTGATTATGTTACCCACAAAACGATCCCACCACAAGGAGGTACACAGGATTCAAAAGTAGACGGCAAAATTCAATGTGTAAAATCTCTATTTTGCTGCATTTTTGCTGCAGCCCAGTTATACTGGTAATTTCCCACTTATAAGTCATATTTAAACTGAAAATGTCCCTCCAGTGGGAATTCCATGTGGGAATGTAGGAGAATTTAAGATGGCAGCTAGTCACCACAATAACAGTAAGTAAAACTCTCTGACTTTTACTTTTAATAGTACTTCTGTATTATTTATTTCACATTTAGTCAGTTGTACTTTTCAGTGTTTATATAAAGGACGTGTAAAAACGCTGTTTCTATGCATGAAATACCACATAGAGCTCAGTTACTGTTTGTTAGCGCTGCTCAGCCGTAGCAGTGAGACAAGGAATGTGATGTTTTATGTTTAGTTTATGTTAAATCTGAAATGTTAAAGTCAATTACAACTGGCCCTTTGAGGGCCACCATAATACTTTTGTGGCCCTCGGTGCAGATGAGTTTGACACCGCTGATGTAGACGTATTAGAAGTTAGAATTGTTTCAAATTGAAAACATTGAGAAACTGCATATTTCGACATCTATTAAGGCCTTAAAGTTGCTGACAATGTGCTTCAACTTTTCTGTAAGTACTGGCTCAACCTAGCCTGGTAAAAACCAGCCCCTTGTCCTAGGCTTTGCTTCATACAGAGGCTCGGGAGCCTCAACTATTGAGATGCGATTTCTTGCTGGAGGAGTGGACTCTGTTGAAGTTTAAAATGATTGGACAGATTTTACCCAGTCACTAACATTTGTCCGTGGTGTACGTAGTGCGTCAGCTAGACGGATTGGCCCGGTTGAAATTCTACCTCGTCTCTGGGAGAAATCCCAGACGGAGCAGTGAAACTAGAATTGAGTGGAACTGCATAGGAAGGCAAAGAGCAGGCTAGGCTCGACCTGTACTGCACCCAAACGGGTCTTTATCTCATATCCTTATTGGTTCAGTGCTGTGAAACCCAAGTCCTGGAACAGAGTTACGTTCATGTTTGTGCACAGTCAACAAAGCACAGCATCTAACAGAGCGCTGTTTGTCCTCTCTTCTACAGAGCTGCAGTTCTTTAACTCCAGAGAGTGTAAGTGTGCAAACTACTGCATGCAGAGAGCATCTGAAACAAGCACAACAGTGTGAGAACGAGCAGCACAAGAGGAGGAACTGTGTCGTTATACCGTCGCTGTTCTTTCCAAGAAGAGAGGCTGAACCGCGCATTTAGCATGAGGGAGAGAGGGTCAAAGATACACAATCAGTAAACACAAACATCTAAAGCTTCATACATCAACAGAGAGGATAGTATGTTGATCTGTAACATCTAATTTAGGTAAACAATTATCGTTCCTCTCTGTAAAATGATGCGCACAGTTCAGTGAGTCTACAGCAGTTGGCCTACCTGTCTCAGCAGGCGACATGTCAGCAGGAACCTGAAACATCTCTCTCCTCTTCATTCTGTAAAAAAAAACAACAAAAAGAGGAAAATGAAGCGAGGTCAGTCCTCGTTAAACTGCAGCTTTATAGTTTTTATTTAGACATCTTAATATTTACAGATTATCAGTCTGAACACTGAGAACTTCCTCATCCACCTCCAAAATCAAGAGGGAAGAGTGTAGGGCTGCCATAATTAGTCGACGACTAATTTAATAATTGATTACTCTTTTTTTACTTTGTTTTTCTCTCCAAACTGCTTTGACACCTTCCACTGCCACGTCTGCCTTTCTGTCCTTGACACACATGCACAGTAGTGGTAACTGGGGTAGGCCGTGGACGTCACAAGACATTATACAGACAGGCTCTGGTATCATGGCTACCCAGCAACAGAGCTCAAAAGTGTGGGATCATTTTAAGAAAATGAAAGAGAAACCTGTGCAATATCTGCAGAGCAGAACTTGTCTTCCACAGCAATTATTTTTAGTTAGCATATAGCTAAAATCTAACGATGGTTATATAATAGCAGCTGCATTCTGACACAATAAGCTGTATGTTTTATATTCAATTAACGTATGATCCAATTAGTCGACTAATCTTAAAAAATAATCTGTGATTAGTCGACTATAAAAATAATTGTTTGTGGAAGTCCTAGAAGAGTGTGTCTGTCAGCAAAATATCTCATGAAATGAATTTTAATGAAACTCACAGTGAAGATGGACTGGATGTACATCAAGTCAGTCTAATTTAAGATACATTAAATACATATGAACATTAGCAAACCTAAACATGACTATTATCCAGTCGGTTTTCCAATAATTACTTAACCCCCAACATTTAAAGAAAACAGCTGAAACACTTATCAACGTAAGATGATCTAAGTCTAAAACTCTGACACAAAAGACGGCAGGTAATATGCCTTATTTTAAAGGGATCCATGATTAGTTGTAACATTAGACTTTATTGATAAACATATGTTTTAACGTAAAACAAAGACTGTAAAAATACTGTAAGATGTTCAGTTTTTATCATTTTAAAACTAAATGTTCAAAAATATATATTACACGGATGGGACCATTTTATTTACACGCAAAGCATTCTGGGTAAATGATGATGTGGATAGATCCTCAGTGCGAGGCTGCTAGCAAGCTATATCCACCCTGAAGGTTAATCTTGGACAATATCTGATGATTGACTCTTTTAAATGAAACCAGAGAGCGTTGACAGAGAGGAGAAGGTAGAAATGACTCAGCCTGGAACTGAAAATATGGATGGAGGACCTCAGTTTAGCTTGTTAGTTTGTCGCGCTAGCATCGAGCTAATACATATAACGCAATATAGCATCAGCGCTAGTATGAAGGCTAACAGGCTAAGCTGAGGTTCTTCTTCCATGAAGCAGCTCTGTTGTCCTCAATCCATATTTTCAGTTCCAGGCTGAGTCATTTCTACCTTCTCCTCTCTGTCAACGCTCTCTGGTTTCATTTCAAAGAGTCGATCATCAGATATTGTCCAACAATAACCTTCAGGGTGGATATAGATCACTCACACAGAGGATCTATCCACCGTCATCATTTACCCAGAATGCTTTGCGTGTAAATAAAATGGCTCCATCCGTTTTAAAATATATTTTTAAAAATTTTCAAAACCAAACAGCCTACAGTATTTTTACAGTCTTTATTTTACAGTTAAAATATATGTTTATCAAATAAAGTCTAATGTTACAACTAATCAGGGATCCCTTTAAAGAATTCTAGACCTTTAGTTGTGTTTCTGGCTTACACTAAAATATTTTCCATCTTTTTAAGTAAACCATATAAAGATCCTTTGGATGTTAACAGCTTGTCTCACTGCTCTGTTTGTCATCTTCCAACACTTCCTGTCTGTTCTGCTCTTTGGTTGCTACAGACGATTTATTAGCAGAAACCTGCAGATGTGTTTCTACCAAAAAACTGAACCTAAAAGCCCTGTTTTTATTTTTTCCACACAATGGTTATAAAGATAGGTTCAGCCTCGAATATTTTGCAGTCCTGCTGTGGTTTTAGATTAAAAAAAATAAGTTGTTTAAATATGTCTAAAAGTGAAATGCATCTCCTTATGGAGTCAGGGCTGCAGGGGGTCAGAGTCACAGTTTTGTTTTTAATTAGCTTTTTCTTCTCATTTATTCTGAAGCACCAGTCACCTTTGGGCAGCTTGTTGTGTTTTCTCAGCTTTATTCTTTTCTCAATGTTTTAAAAAACAATAACATCTGTTCCTGCAGTGCAATATGAAATTACCACAATTTATACATTTTAATGAGATTAAATGTGATGAAAACAAATAAAAAAGACAAAAGTACTTATTTAAAAAAGAGAGAGAAAGGGCCTGGAAAGGAAAAAAAAAAAAACACCTTAAAAAGCCATTCATGTGGTCAAAGTGCAGCTTTTGTCATGAGATCATCAACAGTTTCTTTGTTCACGAAAAAGACTTTAGACAACAAAATAAACATGGAGATAATAACGATTATTAAAAACCAGGCACCACAAGACAGATTTGATTATATATTCAAAACTGCTTCCTCAATAAAACTAACTGGAAGATGAAGCAAATACGTTTTCTGTTAAGGTCCTGTCACTCTGCAACACTTTCTTATGGCAAAACTACTCATAGTTTACATATAATTGTTGGCATTACAGTATGTATTTTTCCAAAAGAAGCTTCCAGTGATTTGTTTGATTCTATTTCAGCACAGACATCTTCAGTGTTGGACAAAATTTTCAGGATTTAAGAAATTTTACAAACATAATGTCTAACCGAGAACAAATCCATTGCAATAATCTGGAGCAATTCTTCCAGTTTCTTCCATCGAACAGTGTTCTGATATTTACTGTTATATATGATTGTCCCCTTCTTATCACTGTTCTGGTTCCTTTTTTCCCTTTCTTTTGTTTTACATTTTTATGTTCTTATCTTCTTTTTCGATTTTTTAAGAGTGAAAAACTAATGTCTCTTTTAGATCAGTTTTCCTACCTTGTGTTGTGTGACTGAAGAAGCTGGCAACTTTGTCCTAACCTTATTTGTTATTGCTTTTAAATGCTTGTTGTGTGTTTGCGTGTCTGTGTGCATGGTCATTTTGCCTTGTTCATATTAACTTGTTTTTTGCCTTCTGATATGAAATGTGCTACACAAATAAATTTCCCTCACCTTATCAGGTGTCTAAAATGTTGTAGTGTGAAAGGGTCTTTCATTTCTGGACATGAACAAAGCAGTGAAGCAAAAACGTTACCTCTTGTTTTCTATGCAGGTAACCAGCAGGGTCAGCAGGTAGAACGAGAAGAAGATGCCCAGACAGAACAGCATCCCGATCACGTACTTCTCAGCTGTGGAAACAAGATATCAAAAATTATAACAATGTTTTTGTTTTTTTGCCAATCCATCCATCCATCCATCTATCTATGAGCTCCCTATAAGCAGGGAGGCACAGACATCTCTTTCCACAGACACCTCTTCCAGCTCTTCTGGAAACACTTCATTGCACTCCGACCAGTTAAGAGAACAATGAAAATCAAAAATGCATTCACATGTATAACAAAAATTTGACGTCACAGGCACTTTAAAATAGAGAAACAACCATGGTTAGTTTAGTGACCAAGGACAGTCTCTTTTTTGAGATGGGAAATCCTTAAAAAATCAGACCACAACTCCACCAATCAGGTAACAGGTTGAAGAGTCAAGACAGAAAAGTTTTCCTCACAAACTCAAATACTTGTGTCAGATAAATAAACATCAGAGGTAAACGACCAGCCTCTGTGCTGATGCCTGACTATTATTAACATGTTATATTTAAATAAGTAGCTCACAGTTGATGGCAGGGGAGACCATCACATCGAGAACCTTGGTCCGGTTCCCGGCGTCGATCAGCTCATCGGGTTGCAGGGGGTAAAAGCGCAGTGGGCCGCCACACGCCTCGTCCTCCGTTTTTACAACTACCACCACGTAGAAACTGTTGCTGGGGTAATCCTTCCTCTGGATTAGAGGAAGAAGCACATGAAGATATGAGATGTTTGTGTGATTGTGTCGTCTATATTCAAATATGCGCTGTGCTTTGTCACGAGGCTTTGCATAATGTGTTTCAGCACAGTGCACACATCCAAGCACAGGAAAAATAAAAATACCTGAACAGTGATGGCCCCTTTTTTTGTCATCGTCTGGTACATCCCAATGAAGGCCACGTTGTTGTCAAGATCATAGACAGGGCACTGTGGAGGGACAAAGGAAATTGATAAAAACTGATTATTCTTTTTATAACATTTAAAATATTTGAAGGAGTGGTAGTTCATATAGTTCTGGAAATACAGTATTTATCTAACAAGGAACAGAAATACATGATTTAAAGAATAAAGGCATAAAGGCAATGAACTGAAATGTTCCCCCTGCTCTCTGCTTCCTGTCGAGCTGTGTACCTGGATATCCTGGACTGACATAACAGAGCAGGGGAAGCTCATGTCCGAGTTGACCTTGACGATGACAGTATCCACTCCATCTGGGAAGACGTACTTAAAGAACTGGGAGGAAAAAACAGAGCAGAGGACAACAGGAAGAACAACAGTGTTGGATTACAATAACGTGGTTGTAGTTCGACCCAAATATGACAACATTAAAAACTGTCTACACTCAAACCTCACAAGCAAAACTTCTAACCCCGCTAGTTTGAAAATGCAACAACTAACAACAGAAGCCAGAAAAGAAAAAAGCAACAACAACAAGCCGACGTCGACCAATATGAGCGTTTTATGACCAGTCAAGGCAACCAATGGCTGATTTACAGAGCAATGTGTTTTGGTTAATATATAAATAAACATACATCATGTATAAATAAAGATATATTTAACAAAACTTGAAATACATGAACAGCCATGCTTAAAGTAAACTAAATTGTGGGCTCCAGTGAGTAGTTGCAGCAGCAGCTGCTGGCAACTTTTTAAAAAATTGGCAATTAGTCATTCCTGTACATAATAAATTACCAAGGAAAGTGAGGATGCAGCTACAACCACCTTATTGTAGTCTAATATTTATGGTATTTTTATGAGAAGGCTCTTCTATGTATCATTTTATGTGCAAAAGCTCTTCTAAGGGTTGTTAAATAGAGGTGAACTGAGTGCCGATTCCAATTTTGTCCGATACTGAATTTATTAAAATAATTGACACGTTTATGTTTAAGGTCAAAATTCAACATTCCAATCTTATTTTATTGAAAAATGTTGAACGATATCTTTAAAACAATACAAGCATGTTTTAACAAGCAAAAGGGGACGATGGCTGATTTTCAGTCCTTTGTGGAGGTAGATAAGATCACTGGATAAGATTGGCTTCTCATTTAAGTAAGCAGATCAGGGCACCCCTACTGTTAAATGTCCATATTTTAAAATAAAGCAGTTATTATTTATCCCATAAATGCATGTTCCTTACAAATGTGGCAACATTTAAAAAGGTAAATTAAGTCTTTCCAACAGAATAAGATTTATCGCAAAGACACTTTGTTACAACAAAAAATGATCTAGCAAACACATTTCCTTAAGTTTGGATTTGGCCAAAACAAAAATAAATATACTGATGTTTCATATTAGCCATCGACCTCACTGATTGCTAAAAAACAGCATCAGTCACAGAAAAATTCGTATTGGTCAACCACTACTGCAGGTGTGTCCAATCCTGGTCCTCGAGGGCCTCTATCCTGCATGTTTTAAAGATTCCTCTGCTCCAGCACACCTGATTTGAACGAGTGGCTGATTAACAGGCTTCTGCAGAACTTGAAGGGTTCAAACAATCATTGAATCAGGTGTGCTGGAGCAGGAAAACGGCCCTCAAGGACCAGGATTGGACACCTCTGGTCTAGTGCCAAGTTCACATTGCTGAGGCTTCATTTAGCAACAAACCAGAACGAAAAAGGTCATTTCTCAATAAAAAAAATATAAAAAAAGTCATAGTTTGCCTCACAAACGACTCCTAAGTTTCCCCATTCTGTTGCTGCCTCAGGAAGTCATGGCTCCGTCAATTACAAGAAAAAGACATTCTTGGTTTCACTTTCCACCTTTTGCAAAACTCTGTGTTTTTCCATCAAACCGTGGGAATGTGGAAGTAGTCTGTGTTGTTTTTTTGTTGACAGCACATATTTTGGTATAACACGGCAAAAATAACCAGACTTTTCCACAAAACAAACAGAAAAAAACAGCACAATGAAATGAATGCAGACCAACTGTTTCAAACATCTTTAAAAGAAGCAAAAGCTGCAGAAGGACACACATTAAATGCTGTCCACTGCCTTTAATACAAGAGTTTTTAAGCTAAAATCATCCGTTGCTGATAAAGGACAGGTTTATCTCACTGCACAGCAAAAACAGGAGTGTTAAAATTTCAGCGTTAAACTTTTGGGTGTTGATTTAACTCCCTCTAGTGTTATTTTAACACTTTCTGAGTAAACTGACTCCCAGTGTTGGTGTTGTCACAGTGTTGATTTCCTCAGTGTTGTCTCAACACTGGACACTGTTAAATAAGCTCCACCCACAACTTAACAGTGTTGTTAAATGACACCATGCAGTGTTGAAAGCAGTATTCTGAAAAGCCCCGCCCTCTTCCACCTCATGTCAGACAGACCAGCTTTTACCCAGCATTCCTTGCTGAGAAATCTTACAGAAATGATGTTTTTGCTTGTTTATGACTATTAAAGACGTTCATCAGAGTAAAAATTAGTTGTTCTGGTTAGTTCTCTTGTTCACTTTGATCAAGTTGTTCAACTTTAAGTTTACGTTTTTGGCCAAAAATCAACACCATGAGTGAGAGGTTTGTCCTGGTGTGTGAAGGGTGATGCCATTACACTTTTCTACTAATTACTGAGAGTTTGATATTAACTCTGAGTGTTAAATTTACACTCTCAAATGTATGGTGTATTGACACCTTGTGATGTCTGTTAACATTACCAACACCATAATTTCCTTTGTTAATAATAATAATAATACAATGGCGTTAATTTTAACACTTTATTTTAACACTGGTGAAATGTTAATATGACACCCAGTATTGTTGAATATTAAACACAGCTTGGTGTTAGATTAACAAAAAAAAATGGGTGTAAAAATTTAACACTTTCACAAATGTTATTTTAACACCAGCAAGTGTGGACACATACTTTGTTGGTGTTGAAATTAACACTGTGGGTGTTAAATTAACACTGGCATTTTTGCTGTGAAAACCTTGTCAATAATAAGTGTAAAACTCTAAAGACGTGATTGTGCTCTGTGTATGTCTTGAGGATGACTCTGAGTTACTACCACACCAAATTTAGCCCAGTATCTGTAAACCTGACAACCTTCAGAGCCAAGCGGGTGATGAAGAATCTACGAATTGAAAAACTCCTCAAGTCCCACCTTCCTGTTTGCATTTTGTACTTTCCTCACCCTCCACCACCACGCTGTCTGCTGTGTATATTTGTGGAACAACACAATCTACACACTGTGGTTGATTTACCTGAGGCTGGGACGGTGATGCAGTGAAGGTGAATGTCTTGTCTGTCCTGTAATCAGGCAGAAGACAACTCGTCAGCCATGGCAGTAAAAACGTTCAGCACATGACAACACATCAAGCGGTGAATGATTAAAAGGCCTCTGTGTTATCAGGAGCACTCACTGCAGGGTGAAGCTCTCCACGCGGCTGACCCGGAGCAGGTAGTTTGTACCCTGGCTCGACAGGGTAGACACGTCGACAAAGAAGTACTGGGTCTCGGAGGCGGCCCGTGTTGGAGGTTGGCACAATGTTCGAGCGATGTGTTTGTACGGGTACTTCCTCTGGTAGCTGTGAGAGAAACAAGAAAACTGATGCTGATAAACTGCGAGAAAAATAAACACACCTTATTCTCCCAATCAATTAATTTAGGCCACATGTGTCAAACACTAGGCCCGCGGGACTCCCCTGAGGCCCGCCAGGGGGGTACCCCCCCCC